GTTACGGATTACTACCATCTCACCTTTGTCTGTGTGGGTTTGAGTCTAGAATTCAGCGAAATTGGATATGGGAGAAAGCTTGCCAGTAACTTTTCGTGTGTCGGTGGTTCTTTCCGCTTTCCGCTGATTTGCATAAAATTGACAGGTCTTCAATAATTGGATTGGATGTAAACGGTAACGTGATACTAATCTGGAATCTTTTAAACATCTATCATCGATAAATTGTGCGGACTACATTTATTTCCCCGTTTGCGAGTCATTTCATGTTAAGTTTTATCTACATCATGGCCTCACATTCTAATAATATCAACAAGCCCCCACGCATCCACTCCTGTTTTTTTCGCTCAAACTTTACAAATCCCAGATTAACATCGATCATTTTAATTAAAAACGATGGAATTGCACAGACCTTCACGCACTTCAACTTTCACCCATTTTGCCGAAGAAAGCACATGACAGACTTTACAAACCAATCATTGGAAATTATTGCAGAAATCTGCATATCTGATGACAAAAAGAAGGCATATTGGAATTATAAGGATTAAATGATCATGGTTTGTTACTTATTTATGTGTAAAATGTATCCAATCGCTCACAAAGTTAACATCAAGTCCTTCAGACCCTCTTTTAACTTTGTGAGTGATTAGGTAAATTGACCATTTAATCCTAATATATATATATATATATATATATATATATATATCTATATATATATATATATATATATATATATATATATATATATATATATTACGTATATGTGATTAAATTGCTTATGTGTATGGTTTAAAATTATTTTTATTTCATTTTTTTTCATTGCATTTAATTGAAATGAATATTTTTCTCGGGTTCGGGATTCTATTTTAATAGTGAAATATATTTTGATCACAAAGTTGTTTACTTCAGACGAAATTGTAATACGTGAGAATAATCATTGCGTCCTTCGTACCCTGGTATTACTGTGAACAGGAAGTTAAAATGATTGGTTAGTAGCAGGGGCATAATTTCTGTGCGTGATCACTATGGGTAAACAACCGTTTTTCATGATTGGCTTTTAAGTGGAGTGACCTTGGACAGCGTGTGAAAATTAGTGAAATAAGAGACCATGTGACCAATCTCGCCAGACGTGAAATGAAGTCTGAGGTTCTAAATACGCATTCCGTATATTTTTTTTTCAGACAGTCATTCAACACCTTGAAGAAACAAGGTGTATGTTTTAATTTGTTGTCAAATTGTTTTTCCTCCGTTTTATTTTTGGATTCAATAATTTATTCTCCTAGACACTCAACAATTAGACTGTCTCATAAAAAAGTTCTGAAAGATCTTCATGGAAATTTATTTAAAAATTATTCGAAAAAAAAGATTGTGATTCAAGTAATAATGTGAATTAGTGGGACATGATGCTCAGATGCTAAAGATCACTGTTAACTGTCACACTGAAGACATCGTAGCGAAACCACCGAAAAAATGTTAAAGCAATGTAGACAATTTAAATCACAAACACACATTATTCCGTGGAAGGTGAAGTGAAAGTTATTATTCCATAGTAAAGTTTTCACCTCTGTAGGGTTCGGACTATCAAGAAAAAATTTCCCGATAGTCCGTATGATAGTTTCTAAATTTTTAGTGAAGCATTTATCATGGGGAAAATACGTTGAATATTTAACATGTTTTGGAAAATTAAATTCATCTCCTCTTAAGGTCTTTCAAGTCCTGCTAATTTTTGCGACAATATTTATTGACTGAGGCAGAAACTAACTTTAAGGAAGTTATATACTACTCTTGTTATTCTGCACTTGATGAGACATCAAAGTAAATCCTGTGAAGCTGGTTTTATCAAATAGACCGTGTATGCTAATAATGCTTAACAATACAAATATTGTTTTTTGTACACTATCAATAATAATAATAATAATAATAATAATAATAATAATAATAATAATAATAATAATAATAATAATAATAATAATATAATAATAATAATAATAATAATAATAATAATAATAATAATAATAATTATTATTATTATTATTATATCATCATCATTATTATTATTATTCTATTATTATTATTATCATTATCATCATTATCATCATCATCATCATCATCATCATCATCATTATTATTATTATTATTATTATTATTATTATTATTATTATTATTATTATTATTATTATTAAAGCTAGTGGTGATCTGGTGTTCATACAATAAAAGGGACATAACATGAGTAAAACTAGAGCTGTGGCTTTCACAGTGATAGAAACAGTGAAAACTCGACAAATAAGCAAGCAATCAAAGGACACTCCAAAAGCAAACAGATGAAAAGAAACATCCTATGTCGGATGAACACTGTAGGTAAAATGTCTCCTTACAAATTAGATGATATGGATTGGTTTATTGGGTTTAAAAATATATAATAGGTCTTCTTCCGTCACTGGTATTGGAAAATAGAAAATTTTTAATTAAATGTTACTTTTTAAATGCATATATTATCTGCTTTTGTAATATTTTTATGTATTTAAAATACGTGTAAAATAATTACAGTATTTAGCACCATAAAGCGTAGTGTACATACAGACATGAAACTGTTGAACCATAGGCAGAGAATTATGCCAAAACACAACTACCATGAACAAGTTAGTTTTCTTTCTTCAAAAAATACGAAGGAAATGTATTGCCGTGCCTACATTATCTTTCCTTTTGATACAGTTTACATACTTGGTAATTAATAGTTATACATGACCTGATGTTAAAATAAAGACCATCAAAATTAAACCGACTCAGTATTGTATATATGAATAACCATGCAACATAATATACTGCTGTCTCGAAATCAATACGAAAAGTTAGTTTTCTTGTGTAAAATATGAAGTCATATGAATTCCTAAAATTTTCATCTTTTCTTCCATTGAAATCTATATTTTAGATTTTAGTCAAATAAAAATATTAACTTATTTTTGAAGTTTTCTAAAATGTCATAGTTAAGAAACAGACATTTAAAAAGTAAATTATTGGAAAAGCTATACAGATTTTGTACTTTCCTAATTGTTTCATGCAGTGTTTCAATTTTTGTCACTCAATTCGAGTTAAAAATTAATGTATCCTTGACACTATCCGATTCTGCAAGTCTCTCTAAAGAATATATCCTTTGTTTTGTAAGGTCCTTTAAAAAATAACCTAACTTTTTATCAGTCTTCTTCTTTTTACGACATTCATTGTTTTATTCTTGATTTGAACTTTCAATAATTCTTCGGATATGGGACACCTGCAAAAGAAGTTACCTATTGCAACAAATTGACCCATTTCGGAATTTTTGTTACTTTTATGTGGACTTCTTAATAGACATATAATGATCTGTGATCTTTGATCCATATAATGATTTGCTGATAATATGATATTGTTATATATTGCTTGCTAGTGAATCTAAGTTGTTACTGTATGATGCAGTACAGTTGAAATCTATGTTTGTGGGGTGGGCTGTGACAAATCCATTACTTAAGTGGTCACTGTTTCCCAGGTAATCAGTGTACGTATTTTGTTTGACTAGCTGTGAACAGACTGTACATTTGCGTGGCCTAAAATTTGCATTATATAAGTTGCTTAAATGTGTTTGTCTCTAAACTTTTAAATTTAATGCTTCCTGTTACTGGTGTTTTATCAATTTCTTTAATTCTGTAATATTTGCTTTTTGTTTCATTATTTTCATCATACATCCCAGTTTGCTAATTCAGACAACAATTTTGCTAACCATTTTGGATTTACATTTGTGATCGGCTTAATATCGTGCAGAATATCGAAATCATCATCTGTTTGACTATGTTCTGAATTTCTTAGATCTGTAAACTTTGTTGTAGATAGCAATTGAATCTCTCACATAGTTGTCTTTCTTTCGATACATATTAGGTGATTACAGATTCATCTTTTCTATTGCACCGAGTGTGTAATCGGCCAGAAGCTGATCCAATTCCGATTATCGAATTACGTCCAAATTAAGTCTAGATTCATTTTTTACTGCGAGAATTGAATCACAAGACAAGTCTTACGTCAAAAAACGTTTTTCTTAGCACATTATCCATCTATTTGCGTTCAATAAATTTCAGTATATCATCACGCCCATGGTGTACAAATGAGTCTTCACTAACTGCATTCCATTGGGACACATATTCTTAGTCATGACTCTATTAATTTTTCAATTAACTCACACCAAAACAGATTAAAAGTTACTTCATCGTCTTGCTCTTTTTTCCATGTCAGTGCTTTCGTCCTCCCCAGAGTTACACAGAATGTCGGCAGAATTATTACAAAAAGGAAATGTTGGAAAAAACATTGTTGACAGGGATAAACGCAGACGCCACAGGGTGGATCTCAATAAAATTCGTATTTCCTTAGAATATTTGGTCCTATTTGTTTAAACATATTAGTTAATGTAAAATAAAGTAAACGTTATAATCTTTGTCTTGTTACTTTCTCCTCTTTTAATGTAATTTTGCGCGATATACAAAACCAGCTTCAGGGAGTAGAGTAGCTATATAAAATGATTAGTATATGTATGCAGCTCCTATAGCAGAAATTGTATAAAGTTTTTATTACAAGACTAAAGTGACAAAATGTGCAATTGAGATATTGAATAATATTAATATATGCTGATATATAGATAGATTTTAATACATTAAAAAAGTATTTAATCACCCTGTGACTTTTTAAATCTCTTTGAAAATGTCTCCATAGAGAAGCAGAATGATCGAATTCGGGATACGATGAAAATATATAATAGAATCAAAATTTAGGATTGCAAGTTCGCTTCGTGGATTTATATAATAACAGTGGCGAAAAGATGAAACTAAAAGGTTTAAGTTGAAACGAGTTGAATTTGAGATAAAAAAAAATTATAACCTCACTACAAATCAACGATGAGTAAAATCAGACGAAATTCTCATTTACAATATGACAATGATATGAAAGCACTACCAGATATATTTCAAATCGTTTCTGTATCGACCGCCCCGGTGGCCTAATGGTTAGAGCGTCCGCTTCGGATGCAGGAGGTCGCGGGTTGGAACCCTGGTGGAGTCATACCAAAGACCTACCAAAATGGTCCTAACAGCTGCCTCACTTATCGCTCAGTATTAACATGATAGTGTTAGGGCTGGTCTACAAGGTGACAGGATAATTGACTGATTGGGACATCATGTTATATGTCTGCGGCATGATGCTCCAATGTTAGACATCGCTATAAAATGTCACACTGCAGACATCGTAGCGATATGAGTGAAGAATTGTTAAAGTTACTTTAAAAATCTAAATCACACTCACACGCGCGCGCTAACGCGCGTTTCTGTATCACATTGACTCAGAATTTGATTCCAATTCTGATTATTTATATGACTGAAACAACGGATGATTTTTTTCAAACTCCTATATCTGAAGTTGAAGTTTTAAAAATGCTGAAATCTCAGATCATACATATGTGGTAGACGGCACTGAATAAAGGTCTAAATGATAAAAAGCACGATTTGAAATTTATGTTTTTGATTAGTATGATTAAGTTACAATTTTTCTATTCCAGGCACTTCCATATACTATGGCGCAAGCAGAAAGATTTGCATATAGAAGAGTCTTTATTAGTCCCTTGGATAACCAGAAACAAGCAGACATGAAATAAATTATTAAAGAAAGAAAATTTAGGTTATCTTTATCTAAATTGTTTGCTGAAATTTTATCCTTGATTGTAGGTTTTAGATTAAGCTAACAGTCATTTGTAAACAAATGTTTAAATAGACAACTTTTATCCATGTTTGTGAACTTATATATATATGGTAATTTTAAAACATGTTGACATGGACTTTTGACCCGAATATATTCTGGTAGAGAACGTATCATCCACGACCTAGTCATCTTATTGTGTCGTAGGTTGTGATATAAAAATAGAGGTAAACACAAATTATTTATTCTTTTGTTAATAACTGTCAACTTTATTTAACTTTACTGAAAATGTTATTGTTATGTGCATTTTCAACCTACGCAGATCTACTTTATGAAATTGTTTAACCCGTTATTGGAACAATAACTTTTAAAGTTCACTTTGATGTCGACCCAAGCAAATCAGAAACAAATTATTTGACAATATCTCTTCTGAATCTTCATAGCAACACATGTTTTATTCGCGTTTTAGGAATTAATCGAACGTATTGGAAAAAGAGGTGTCGTCCCAGTAGATTTGAAAAAAAAATATACATGTTCACATTTTTTATCATAATATGTATACTTACTGACCTACCTGTAATAATGTATACATATTGGTACAGATATAAAAACCTACCAAATATATCAAGATTTTCAACACTAATTTCAGGGCCTAGATGACGTGAAATACACAAACTGCTGATAGTTATTTATGGTACTCTCCCACTAATTCCTGCGACAAAAGCGGCCATAAATTACAAACGTGTATTGGCATTTTGGAATAATCGAAAATGTATAGCAATGAATTATTTTATAAGTGGACTGTTATTTAATACTTCAAATTTTAAAAGTAATTCCTTGCTAGATGCGTGATTCTAAAATTTTAGGCGTTCGATACGGAAGTGCAGATTGAACATCGATAACGCACAACACAACAGCCATATAAGATTAGATGGGTTTATAATGCAGTTATATTTGTAACTATGCATCATTAATATTTTAAAGATGAAATTCTTTTGTAAAATGAAAGTTAAGTTTTTGAACTATTATGTCAAGAATAACGAAAATATGATAATATCATTTCATTTACGCCAAAACAAGATTCTTCAGCTATTTCCGTACATTCCTTACTGACAAAAACTACTGACGTACCGGAACAGTGAAAACGTACAGTTGTACTAACCTACAGAAACAAATACCTTCAATACCGCGCACCTATTGTTGTCATATTGTTACTTTCAATTAGTTCTCTGTTTATATATGTAACTAATCTTGTGACGTAAGCAGATTTCATGCAAATTTAGTAATTAAATAAATTTCAATATACTCCGACCTTTCCTAAAATAAGAATTGATATTCATTTTGTTTTGCGGCAAATAACACTGCATTCCAGCACATTGCATAAACTATATGTTCTTTGATGGTATAATCTACCAGATTCGATATGCAGTGTATATGGATACATCCTTATTTGTGCAGAGTATTTTCTGAATTTGTACATTGTTGCTGTATACAATTACTCTTTCAAGAAAATGTTTGTCGATAAATTTCTATAAAATATATCTTTTTGGGATTATCTAATTCTAGATTGACATATTTGAATAAACTGGTGAAATAGGCGTTGTTTTACGGAAGACATAAGAACCTTAATATGCTGAAATATTTGATGTATTTCCTCATTTGCAAATTTTGAAACAAACTATGATGGGACAAAATTGCTAAGATGTTCTTACCGGTGTCCATAGCTATAATCAAAGAAACATTGGGTATTTTAATGCCATTTAAATGATAGCTAGTGTTATGTACTTGAAACATAAAATTATGACAGTTGTTTTTCTGCAAAAGAATCAAGCGAACCACAATCGAGCAAAATTTTCTTCGTTCCGTACATCACCGTACATCATCTTATTTACATTCCATCCGTCTACCTTCCTCTTCCAACACTTGCTTAGTAGGCAACATATGACAATCAAGGACCATATTTGTATTGTTGTTTTATATCTTTAAACAAAAACATCACTCGACTACTCACAGTTGTGTTCTTTCTAAAACCCATATAGTGGATGAAAGGACATTCAAAATTGAAAGTTAGAAACTCATAGACCAGTCAGAACAGGGAAAGAGTATGGGAATCATTGATATTGTCACGTCCAAACTATTATTATTAATATTGATAATTACATCTTTGGTAAAGGTGTCGCCACTTGTTTACATGCATAAAGAAACATTTAGTAAGTCATTACTAAGCAAACAACAAAGCTCAAAGAATGTGAAGATTTCATATTTAATGTTTATCACATAGTCGGTATTGTTTTTCTACAGTGCGTGCATGTTCATATTTTTGATATTATAACATGTGAGCATATCACTTTATGCGATTCTGTTTGGTCCAGATGAGATCATGAAATTATTGTGCATGAATGTCTTTAATGATTGGCTGCGACCATGGGAAAACGTTTTAAACCCCGCCTTCTGGAATGTTTTGATCTGAATGAACGTTTTTTGGCGACCATTTTTAACTCGATTCGCAAATGGAAATTGAGGAAATATCATATCGGCTGTCTCAATATGGATATGCTACTCCCACAGGGGTTCATTATGTCCTGTTTAACAATATCATCATAAGAAAAATGTCATAAAACAACAAGATAAGAACGGCAATAACGAATAAAACCAAGGGATCGCAGGGTGGGTGTATGGGGTGCGTATATCAGTAACATAGATATAGAATCCACCGTATATACAAGCGTTGTTTAAATGTTAACGAGGTAAACAAACTCGCCTCTGTTCGGAGACTAATCTGGATATGAATGGGTCTCCTGAGAGATCTTTATTCAACCACAGCATCTTTACGTAGCATATCTGAGATGTAAATCCGATATGAAAATAAACTTGTTGACGTCTTCTTTACAGTCTATTTTTCAAATCAAACTCTACAAATATCAGGTCACAAATACATTGCAGTAAATATGGGACTTTTTGCATCCGGTAATCCTTTTTCACATGAAAATCGCAACTATGTAACGTTTTTAAACACACATTTTAAGGTACACGTATACTGTCGGCCTGCTGTACTGTGATTTTGCGTACCGTAAAACAATGTGGCAGCATCACATTGCATTTATAATTCTTTTTTGAAAAATTATTTTGTCATTATAAAATATTTTATTTATTCGGATGGAAGCTTTTTCTTTGATTTATAGTTTGTAAAACAGTACAGTCTAATTTTACCAGTTCAACTTTGTTTGAAACTATATTTTATGCACAACAAATGAAAGGTACACCATCTGTCAGAATGAACGAAATTATTCGTTCTTCTATCTATTTAAATAATTTCCACTGAAATTAAAACTATGTGATAAAAAAATCTCAAATGGGTAACGATTTAATATTAAATTTATGAAACTCGTTGAATAATGTCAAGCTTTTGCTCGCCAAGGCTCGCAAAAGCTGGATGTTATTCAACTTGTTTCATAAATCCAATATTAAATCGTTGCCCATTTGCGATCCTCTATTTATTTACCAGGACCAAGATAAGCAGATATTTCCACCATCATGCTGAAACTCAAACATACAAAATGCAAACAGCAAAGTGTTGGATTTATTAAAGATAAATAAAATGAATAAGACCACTCATAACAAGAATTGAAGTGTTATTTACACAGATATTAAAAACACTGGACATTCTTGACTTGTGGGCAACAATATTGATTTCGTATATCTCAAATGTTTTGAATGGATAGAATGAACGTAATACACACATCATCTACGCAAATGTGAACAACATTCCATTCGGTAGCATGGTCTTGTAATATATTTAATTCGTAGTCGAGTCTTACTCTGAATCCTCTGGTAACTTTACCATTCTTAAAATACAACGAATCTTCGTATGTGTGGTCTAGTAATTAAGTTTTGAAACACTGTCATCGAGCTTGGCTTGTCTTGGGATTCTAATGAAAGTACGGACACATAACAGAAAGTTGCTTAATTTAATCATGTCGAAGACTGACTGACTCCTAAAATTTACGGTAATTGGTTAAAGTGGACCTAATATTATATTTACTGGATACGGCTTTTCCATCCTTTTTCTGATGGATCATACATTTTGCTATTCGTATTTTGTGTTAATTTTTGTTTTAGGAAGTTAGTGAAAAGAGCTATATATGATGATTATAAAAACATAAACAAATGTGTAATCATCATTTTCCATAACGTAAAACTACTCTATTGCTCTTTCCAAATCAATCTGCTTTCTAAATTTGCTCTCCGGTGCTTCTTCTGTTTAATTTCATGTTCTCAATAGCACAATTTCAGCACATTTTGGAAACCATTTTATGTAACTGTACGATGTCGAACTACTTTTGATTGTGACATGGGCGCCATAGTTGCTT